TATAGAACTGGAATACCCCAACAACAAGTGGTAGAAACGGAAACCCGAGAGATGTAATTGTAAAATTCCATTACTATCAAGATAAAGAACAGATCTGGAAGAAGATAAAAGGAAGAGCAATAATAAAATATGGCGAAGTAAATATTCAGATATTCGCAGATCTAGAAGCAGAAACATTAATAAGAAGAACCCTGAAGCCATTATTAGAACAAATGAGAAAGCAAAAGGTTCGATATAGATGAGGTTTTCCAGCCTGTTTAATCGGTTGGAAAAATAGCAAATCAGCAAAATTGAAGTTTCCCGGAGATTTGAGAGACTTTTGTGAGAGACTTGAATTGCAAGAATTAGTTATTCCAGGTTTGGAGAAAGGCGAAGGGAAGATATGTGAAAAAGAAAAGAGAGGTGGCGGGCTCCCCAAAGAGAGCAAAGAGGGAATAGAGAGTAAGGGGGTTGGGGGGGAGAGGAGAGGATAAGAATATAATAACTTTTTTTGACGCCCCTCCTCTTTCCTTGGGTTAGTGGGAGAGGTGGGGGAGGAGAGCGTAGTAATTTAATAATTTTTAGAAAAAAAAAAAAAATTTTTTTTCTATTTTTTTTTTTTCTCTTTTGTTCTCTTTTTCTCTCATCCTCTTCTCCTCTCCCCTTTGCTACTGATTATTGAGCTCCAAGACTATGGTAGGACATGGGAGGGATGGATTATTCTAACTGGTGAGGTGTACATGGTCAGAGCCCCACTTTAAGGTTGTATCAGCGGTGGGATCTAAACCATAAATGATTCATAGGCAAACTAGAGGCCTAAAAGGGGAGGGAGGAGAGAAAGGGGAGGAGTGGAGGGATGGGTGGGGGGGAGGGTATGGGGAAGGGGTAGGTAGTGTAAGACTGCGATATAGTAGGAGATATATTAGTTTGGAGAAGTCCTAGAGAACAAAGGGGAAGCTATGGACAGGAGAGGAGGAGAGAGGAGAAAGAGGAGAGGATAAAGGAAAAATGGAAGAGATACTCTTCATGACTTATAATGTTAATGGATTAAATAGCCCTGAGAAGAGATTTAGGATATTTAAAGAGATTCACCTTGCCATGGCTGTGGCATGCTCACATTGTTTTTCCAAAACTTCAATTTCTGCCTTCTTATATGCGTCCTTATATGCGGCCTGAGCCTCTGTTTCTGCTTTCTTTTGGGTGAAAGCTGCCTGAATTTTAGAAGCTTCAGCATCAGCACAGGCTTTTATTAGTTGTTGACTGAGTGTAGAAGACCTTGATTGTTGGGATTTGAAAGATCTTGAGGAGTGTCTAGTAGACACAGAGCGATAAGATCTGGATTCATGGAGCTGTGTTATTCTCACTTCTGCCTCTTTGTTCACACCACTAAATTGTCTCTTTCAAGATTGAGCTCCTCAAAACTCATTAATTCTTCCAATGACCTTTGAGTGTTGTACCGCTTTAATAGAGCAATATATTTACAACACACAGTCTTTGATAATTCTCATAAGCAACATTCAATTGTTGGCTAGCGCACTCTAGTTGTATTAGTTCATGAGATTGTTGGGAGACAGCAGTATATTATTAGATAGCAATTCTTCCTTGTCAGCATTAAGATTTAAGCGTTTTTCTCTTTTATCCAAGTCCTGCTCTGGATGAAGCTCTGATTGTGGTTGTGTATTAGTTTCCCTAGACTGTATATTACTTTCCTGAAACATCATGTTAGCAAGGAGGGGTTGATAGAAAGTTTACAGAGAAATGTATCACTTTTTCTGTGGCTGAGTTCAGTTTTCCTAGGCAATGATTGCAGAAGGTTTTCTTTTTCTTTCTTATAAGTTCAAAGGCAAGCCATATAGTAATGTATACAGATGCAGTGTATAAACTTGCAGTTGTAAAACATTCACATCAATAATTTGTCCTGATGAGTGTTATGATAGGATATACTTATAGACATGTACAGACTTGTGTAGAGGTGGCTGCACTCTCTATGGTGTCCGTTTGTGAACCAGAGGTAATAGATCGCTGCTCAGTTCTCCGGCATTCTCGGAGAACAAAGTTCTCCTGTGAATGCAGTTTATGAAGCAGTTCTCCGAACGAAGGGAGAACGGTTTCCAAACGCTGGATAACGGTCTACAAACTGTGAAAAACGGCTCATTTTACTATAATCTCTCCAGATTATAGTAAAATCCAGTTTACTAAGCAGAGGTAAATTATCTCTGCTTAGTTTTGCGGTCCCTCTGATTCTCCAGCTCTGGGCTGGAGAATCTGGACGGAGAACACAGATCTCCAGAGAAGGGCTGACAGGATCTCCTGAGTGTTATAAACTGTGAATGACCAGAGAATAGCTGAGATCCGTTGAATCGCAGCTATTCTCTGGTTCACAAACGGACACCTATAGCTGTTATATCCAGTATCCATGTAACATCTCACTGTGTATTCTAGCTAGCAAGGATTCTATGAAGCATTCCACAGATCTTTTGACTAGCCAGAATCCTATGAAGCATTCCACTGATCTTTTGACTGTTCTATCTCTCCAATCTAAGCATTGATAGTGTGATCTCTGTAACTTACAGTTGTGATGAGATAGCGATAACTTCAACCTCAGTTGGATACTACAGTCAGTGACTCAATCGATAAGACATCTTGTAGATCTTGTGAAGTTTATTCCATAAACTGAGAGAATCTTACAACAATGAACATTTCATAGGTCAAAAGTTCATAATGTTTCCTGCTCCATGACATGAGGCTAGAGCTGCAATGCATTGCTGGGAAAGGGGGAGGGCTATCTATGCAGCATTAACTAAGCCAAAGGAAAAGGAGGAGCAGAAACAAAATATAGAAAACACTTAAAGGCATATGACAGTCATGTGAAACATGACAATCCTTATTTGCCACAAATAGAGCTTTCTTTCGGTGGTATTTGATCGCCTGTGCGTTTTGTTTTTTTTTTGCGCTATAAACAAAAAAAGGCCGACAATTTTGGAAAAAAACCTATATTCTTTACTTCTTGCTAATAATCCTATCCAGTGAAAAAATTTAAAAGATCAAAATTCGTCATAAGTTTAGGCCAAAATGTATTCTGCTACATGTCTTTGCTAAAAAACAATCCCAAAAATGTGTAAATGAATTGGTTTACGTGAAAGTTATAGCATTTACATATGGCGGTATATATATAGGAATTTTTTTTTTTTACTAGTAATGGCGGCGATCAGCGACTTATAGCGGGACTGCGGTGGGCATTCTGACACTTGGGGGAAAAGCAGTGTGCAGGAGCTAACAGGGAAGAGATCTGTGTTGTTTATGTCTCTCCCCCCGTGATACTCAGGGATTACTGGGTGCCAGCCAGGAATCATCTGCCAGGACCCAGTGACTGGACAGCCGAGGCCACGAACGGCGGCGTGGGTAGGGGGGCGCGCGCGCCTCCTACTCAGAACTGCAAAATCACGTGTATATATATGTGATTTTGCACACCTGTGCTGCCCTGTAACAGTATTTCTGCTATAGAAGTGTTTAAAATTCCATTAATAGTATTTTGGAGGACAAGTGTCCCTAGGGCAAATTTGTAATACTGCTTGCTGCAATTTATCTGTAGCTTGCACAGGGATGAATGGTGCCAAATTTAAACCAAGGGTACACCACACAGTTGTGTACAGGGCTAATCACTTGCACATGATTGCTGCATGAGCAATTACATGTGTGTGGCTGCAATTAACTGTGGGAGCTGGCAGCCTCCCATTGCTTTCAATGGTGATGTCTCCCACAGCTAATCCCCAGGAACCCCTGCTGGGGTTCTCATATGTAAGCGACGTCAGGTGCATTTGCAGGGGTAAAGGCACCCTACATACAATGTGTTCTGTAAGGGTTTTTATGTCTATGAACAGAAATCTTTCTCTTCTTAGAGCACATGCAAAATGTGCTACAATGCAGTTACAAATGTGTGTCCTAAAGGGTACTATTGTAAGGAGACCTTAACTAGATAGTATGTGGCCTTGTTATGTTTTCCAAACTGCCATTCTGTTTTATTGTAAAGATTCAGGTAAAGCAAGCATCAGGCCAGCACACTGGCTTAGTGGCTAGAAATTCAGCTTTACAGCAGTAGGTTCCTTGGTTTAAATCTCAACCAGGACAATAGCTGCATGGAAATCAAATGTTCTCCCTGTGCTTGTGTGAGGTTCCACCCGCACTATTAAAGTGTTACTAAACCCACAACAATAAAATCAGTCTGTATATGCAGTAAAGCATGCTTGTCATACTCGCTGTGGAACCTAAGGGGTTAATCCTCTGCATTGTGTGAAAATGCTGTTCGATCCTGTCTTCTCTGATTCTCCCCCTCTTCCAGTGCCCCCCTCTTATCTCCTGATAGGACATATTGTGTAGAGACACTCTGCACATGCTCAGTTTGGTGTGTATTGCTAGAGAGGTTTTTTTGTAATGCTTGGGAGGGTGCATGTGATCAGCACAGGGCCAAGCAGCACTGGTCAGACAGAGGTCAGGGGTTCTGCATCTTCCTAGAGCAGAAAGAAAACTCCTCCTACAAGCTTTAACCAGTGCTCTGCTGAACACAGATAGAAGTCACAAGACTGCTGTAACTGCTGATGAGAAAAGGTATTTATCAATGTATATTTACTAAAATAATTTCATTTCCATGTAGTGTATACTGTACTGTGGGAGACCAGATATAGTGAATGCAGGGTCTTGGGTTTAGTAACACTTTAACCACCTCCCGCCCACCATATAAGGCAATTATGGGCGCAAGGTGGTTCTCTCATTCTGGGAGGATGTCATATGACGTCCTCCCATTCTAACCGTGCATGCGCAGCTACAGGAGCGCACAGTGCGGCGATCGGTGGTGCGCTGTGTCCCTCGGACACAGCAGATCACCGATCATTGGAAAGAGCCAAAGATTTCAGCTCAGTCATGTGATCAGCTGTGTCCAATCACAGCTGATCACATGTAAATAAGGAAATGCCGGTTATCGGCATTTCTCTCCTCATGAGCTGTCACGCTGACAGAGGAGAGGAGAGCCGGTAATCGGCGTTCCTCAGAGGGGACATGTACACTGATCATCAGCGCACTGATGATCAGTGATCAGTGCAGCCCCAGCAGTGCCACCTGTCAATGTCCATTAATGTCACCTGCCAGTGCCCATCAGTGCCACATATCAGTGCTCATCTAAGCTGCCTTTTAGTGTCACCTATCAGTGCCAGTCAGTGCCACCTATCAATGCCAGTCAATGCCACCTATCAGTGCTGCCTATCAGTGCCAGTCAGTGCCGACTATCAGTGCACATCAGTGCCACCTATCAGTGCCGTCGGTGCTGCCTATCAGTGCCACCTAACACTGCCATTCGGTGCCGCCTATCAGTGCCAGTCAGTACCGCCTATCAGTGCCGCCTATCAGTGCCATATATGAGTGCTGCCTTTCAGTGCCCATCAGTGATGCCTGTCAATGCCCATCAGTACCACCTATCAGTGCCCATCACTGCAGCCTCATTAGCGCATATCAGTGAAGGAGAAAAATCACTTATTTACACAATTTTAAAACAAAAACTAAGAAAAAAAAATCTTTTTTTTTCAAAATTTTGTTGTTTTTGGTTTGTTTAGCAAAAAATAAAAAACTCAGAGGTGATTAAATACCACCAAAAGAAAGCTCTATCTGTCTCAAAAAAATGATAAAAATTTCATATGGGTACAGTGTTGCATGACCACGCAATTGTAATTCAAAGTGCGACAGCGCTGAAAGCTGAAAATTGGGACAGGACACTTAGAAAACAATTGTTTTCTATGTGTCTTGCTTGGACCTGTGTTCCAGTGCACAAATATGCTGGCTACCTCAATAGTGTGATTTGGCCCTAATGCTAACATTTTTGCATGCAAAATGTATTCATTTGAATTGGAGTGGGCCTCAGCACAGGAGTAATCACTCCTGCTCTAATTAACCACCTCCCATCCGGCCATTGTATATAAACAGCTGGATGGTGGCAGTGCAGGGGCGGGTGGCCGTTTATAAACGGCCTCCCCGCACCCTGCTTGTGAGAGCTACCTGGGAGCGCATAGCACTGCGATCCAGTGCCCACTGTGTCCTCCGGACACAGTGGAACACCAATCGTCAGACGGGACCTCTGTGCAAGGTCCCGATCTTGTGATCCCTGATTGGCCAATCAGTGATCACATGCAGTGTAGTAACCAAGATGTCACTTCTGACATCATTGCTTACTACGTGTGAAATCTGTGAATGATCACAGAGGTCACATGGTACAAGGCTATTCACAACAGCCTTGTACCATGTGACAAGCTGTGACCAATCACGGCTCACATAGTAGTTCTCAATGGCTGCAAGAATGCAGCTAGAGGGAAGGAGAAATGATTGCTTTTACAGCCTTTATGGGTGTAAAAGCAATCAGTGTAAAATAAAATAAAAAATCTTCATCTCCCCCCCACAAGTAGTACAGTGTCACCATGGTGACACTGTACTGCTAGGGTGACAGTATGTTAAAAAAAAAAAACAACCAACATAAATAATAATATAAAAAAGTAAAAAAAAAATAAAAAAATTATAATTTTGGTTATAAACTAATTTGGGTTTATTTTTTTTTTTTTTTACTAAAATGATAACGGAATACATTTTGGCCAAGATTTATGATGAAATACTATTTATTTGCAAAATTTTATAAGAAAAACACTTTTTTCAAAATTGTAGACTTTTTAATTTACATAGCAAAAAAAATTTAAAATCCCAGTGGCGAATAAATACCACCAAAATAAAGCTTTATCTGTCTCAAAAAAATGCTAAAACATTCATATGGGTACAGTGTTGCATGACCACGCAATTGTCATTCAAAGTGTGATAGCACTGAAAGCTGAAAATGGGCCTGGACAGGAAGGGGTAAAATTGTCCGGACTGGAAATGGTTAAAAATGGTTGGCACCACAATGAATCACAGTGCCTTACTGCAATGTGATAGTGTGAACAGGCTCTGAATGGCAATGCACAGATACAGTGTGTAATGGAAGGTGGGACTAGGGGTTGCCACCTCTTCTCTTTTAAACTGAACACACTAATTACACAGCTTCTGGGGCTGATTAAGGTGGTAATTAAATTCACTGGATGCCTTATCTGCAATAAATTAGCCTCAAAACCTGTGTAATTAATATGCGTTCAGTTTTAAAGGGATGAGGTGGGACCCCAGCCTGTGGTGAAGGTGCCATCTTGTCTTGCTCTCAAACTGTTGTCATAGCTCCTCATCTGAGGTGAACCTCTGAATAAAGCAGTTCATTTCTCCCAGGCACTCACCATGTGCTCCTTTTCTAAACTGCTCAGGTGTGTACAAGCCGACATGATACTTGGCTGGGACTGGAGACAGTGCTGGTGAATGCACTAAGACTTTCCCCATTCTCCATAGAACCCCAATAGAGCACAACCAGAGCTCAGGATGTAGACCAGGGTTATTCCCAGGGCTAAATCAGAGGAGCCCCTCCTGAACTCGAACGTCCATTGTTTCAGTCAGACATCAATGATTTGAACCAAGCAGAGCCCCCCTTTCTGCGGAGATAAAGGGGTTACATTTCTATTTTGGTGCAGGCAGCTGGCGCTTGTTGGCTGTTGTGTTTGAGTAATGGGAATGAGAAGTAGTCTAGGAAGCCCTAATAGACCTGTATGAACAATGCACCTTAAACAGGAATACATTCTGCCTTTGTGTCTCTTTGCTACAAACCTGTTAAAAAAGAAAAGAGTATCCATCAGGTTTAACAAACCGCGTTTGTATTGTACCTACTTGTCTGCTTGAAATACACTGATCGGGACAATGAGCAGACATGAGGCAGACCTTGGAGAGATGGGCATTCTAGAACACAGCACATGCCGGGGAAAGCCAGCCAATGTGCTGATAATTGTTGGCTGTGTGAGTGAGTGGTGACCACACCGAACACCTGATACACCCTCTACACACAAACAGCTTCGCTTCTATGTGAAACTGAGCCGCTCCATTCCAAGTGCACTCATTGCTGCTATTCCTGGGACTGCTCTGGATTCCTGCAAAACTCCCTTCATTTCGTTTATACATCGTACGGATACATTCGATAGTTTACCGTCTTCTTAGCAACATATGCATTCTTTTATCGATTTCATTGTATAGGATTCGATTTGCTGAAACGAAATTTTGTGATTGCCAGTGATCATGTAGATAGTTGGCACACTAAATTTCGTTTGGATGTTCTGTTCTCTACTATAGTGGACTCCGAAGAACCCAACAATGCAGATTTCTACTATGCTCTCTGCGGATGTATCCCGTTATGAATTCTTTCATTGTATGTTCTCTATCCCCTTCTGTACATAACATTGCTGAAACAATCATCAACCATTGTTTCATACGTTTGAACGAAATAAATGACGAATCTCTAAGGTTTTAATAGCTGAAGGAAAATACCGAACGAAATCGACTTTTACTCCAAATGTGCAGACCTCGCATGTTTTCAAAGCCCGTTGTGGTTAGACATAAGTATCCGCTCAACTTGCTGTGTCTTCCAGATGAAGGCTAAAAAAAAGGACAAACTAGGGAAATAAAAATACAACTGAAACATTCAAATAAATCGACATTTGTAAGCTGTATTTGTAAGAAAGATATATTTCCTAAAGCTTAGTAATAATTAAGGAACAACAAAGTTTTATCGTTTACACGTTCCTATTTGAAACTATATATATTATTATTATTATTATTATTATTTATAGTAGTAGTAGCAGTAATAGTAGTAGTATCATCACCTTCGCTCGGAAATCCGTATATATAAAATTCAGCAATGTCTCTAAGATGTCTTCACAATTATAAAAGATAATTAATTACGGCTATTGCATATAGAGATTATTATTTTTATTTCTTGAAGTTTTAGGTAAGATAATATTTAATGGCACTGAATGTATAAATAGAAATGATATCATTAACAAACATACATGTCTACACTACTTGTATGTATGTAGGGTTGTTTATACGTACACAAGCCCAGTGATACACTGACATAATCCCCATGTTGGGAAATCTCCAGAATGATTTTCTATATGCTCACACAAGTGTCCGGCTGCGTCTATTTGACACAGATGCACTATATCCTGCCTAGAGCTCAGTATATGTTTATTATATTCACAGTGATAACTTCTTGTTATGTCTGTCATATATGAAAGGATCGGTAGTAGTAGACCTGTTTTCCGTTTTTTTTTTTTTCCTTCGTAGCTGGAATTGGGTTAAAAGGATTCAGAGCATGTGTGCTTGATTTTGTCTTTGTTTTTGCAGAGATACGATGCTTTTGTTTAAGTTGCCGGGGCTTCCTGTGTTTTCTGAGCATGGACACGTTTGATCTCTGCTAGAAGGAAACATACATTGTATGGGAATGTCTGGCCGCTCTAGGTGGACAGGCGCTTCACACCGCCACACCAGCTGCACTCTGATCACTGAAGATGGATGTGTCACCCAGAAGAGTGCGGTGCTGGAAACTTCCAAAATATACATGGCCAGGCAGCAGTGGATTACTTTCATGTTCCCTTCAAGCTCTCTGATGCACTTGGCATCACTTTGTTTCAATGTATTGCATACTCAAATCAGCTGCAAGCCAATCCAGTCTCCCCCCCACTGTACTGTATATTAATCTCCACTGCAAATCAAACCAGACTTTTCCATTGTACTGTATATTAATCTTCACTGCAAGTCAAACCAGACTCTTCCATTGTACTGTATATTAATCTCCACTGCAAGTCAAACCAGACTCTTCCATTGTACTGTATATTAATCTCCACTGCAAGTCAAACCCAGACTCTTCCATTGTACTGTATATTAATCTCCACTGCAAGTCAAACCAGACTCTTCCATTGTACTGTATATTAATCTTCACTGCAAGTCAAACCAGAACTCTTCCATTGTACTGTATATTAATCTTCACTGCAAGTCAAACCAGACTCTTCCATTGTACTGTATATTAATCTTCACTGCAAGTCAAACCAGACTCTTCCATTGTACTGTATATTAATCTTCACTGCAAGTCAAACCAGACTCTTCCATTGTACTGTATATTAATCTCCACTGCAAGTCAAACCAGACTCTTCCATTGTACTGTATATTAATCTCCACTGCAAATCAAACCAGACTTTTCCATTGTACTGTATATTAATCTTCACTGCAAATCAAACCAACTCTTCCATTGTACTGTATATTAATCTTCACTGCAAGTCAAACCAGACTCTTCCATTGTACTGTATATTAATCTCCACTGCAAGTCAAACCAGAATCTCCATTGTACTGTATATTAATCTCCACTGCAAGTCAAACCAGACTTTTCCATTGTACTGTATATTAATCTTCACTGCAAGTCAAACCAGACTCTTCCATTGTACTGTATATTAATCTCCACTGCAAGTCAAACCAGACTCTTCCATTGTACTGTATATTAATCTCCACTGCAAGTCAAACCAGACTCTTCCATTGTACTGTATATTAATCTTCACTGCAAATCAAACCAGACTCTTCCATTGTACTGTATATTAATCTTCACTGCAAGTCA